TCTTGTGAAAAATTTAATGATCTTGATAAAAGTAAAAGGAAAGAATTAAAGCGTTAATGTCTATAATACTAAACAACTATAATCAGATTTAATAAACGTAATAAGAAACTGTAATAACATTTGGCGAAATAAAAATTATAAATAAACTATAAAATTAAATTAAACCTGGAGTTCGTAAGCTGTCTAATATTATTGCTATTTTCAAGGCACAATATTATTGTTTACTTAAGAGGACAATTAGTACCCTACAAAAAGTCCAATTTATAACCTATATTTACAGGTTGATTTGATCGCAGTTCAGTGCTCGACCGTAAAGCCATGATGCCAAGTACCCAAGAAGCTATATTTGCCGTGCTGTTCTCTGTTGTTCTTGTCTTCAATATATCAGGAAACTCCATCGTTATTTACATCATCACCAATGAACGAGGAATGAGAACATCCACAAACTATCTGCTGTTAAACTTGGCTGTAGCAGATCTTTTATTTGGTGTTTTTCTTGCTCCTCAATTCATATTCCTGCCTTTCATCCGTCACTCCGTGCCAGATGGAGTTCTTGGCGAGTGGCTGTGCAAACTACTGTTAACATGTAACATCGCTTGGATGGCGTCCAAAGCTTCGATTTTCACCTTGATTTGTTTGTCAGTTGAGCGATACTTTGCTGTATGTCGTCCTCACACCTTCCGTCAGCATTTTTCACAGAAGATCGTCAAAGTGCTCGTTTTAGTGTGCTGGATATATGCTGTTGTTGTGATATCACCATTATTTGCTGATACTCATTGGAACAAAGAATATTTAGACTGCTCCGTTAAAGTTCCCACCAGTAAAGTTCACTCGGTGTACGTTTTGCTAGAAATAATATGTTCTTTGTCTCTGATGACATTCTTCGTTATGAAAATATTCCTTTCCCTTTGGTGCAAGCAGACAGTCGAACCTACAGGTGAACGAGAGATCACCGACAGAAAGAAGAAAAAGAAAGTCACTTTGTGTGTTCTTGCTGTAGTTGTCACATTTGTGGTGTGTTGGATTCCCGTAGCCATTAACTACTTACTATCTGGATTATTAGTCAGTCCGGTTCTAAGTTTAGCAATATTGGTCGCTTCTCTTAACGCTGCTCTGGACCCGTATCTATTTAGTTTTCAAAGTTCGAAATTTAAGGCTTTGGTRAAAAAGGTTMTMTGYTGYAGAAAAKAGTCCWCGYAATAAGGCAAGGCAAGGCAAGGCAAGGCAAGGCAAGGCAAGGCAAGGCAAGGCAAGGCAAGGCAAGGCAAGGCAAGGCAAGGCAAGGCAAGGCAAGGAACGAAATGATTGCACCTTCTTCGCCTTAATGCCGGAGATTTAAAACAAATAAATATTGGTGTTAATTAATGACATCCTTTTTATCGCAATGAACAGCAAGAGGTGTATGTCCTGCAACTTCCAAAAAGAATTTTGTACGCGCATTCGATAATCAAACTTCTGTTTAGTGTCTTACAGAATTGTGACAAAGTAATAAAACCAACAATGCAAGCTTGCTGAATTCCAATTTGTCAACTCGTTTTAAGCATAAATAGTTCCGTTTTTTAGTTAGATAAACTTCTACGCAAAGTACTCAAGCTTTAGTTTCAAAGCAGAGATTCTTCTCACTGCATCGATTATTGCTACAGGTAATGCCTTTTGTTACTATGAAGTCATTTTAGTTTTGGATTGAAAGTGTTGGTTTTCATAATGAGAATCATTGCTCGATTAGTAAGCTGATACAAATTCTCTTGACAGCATGTTTGAATGAATGACTTTATTTATACACACACATTACAAGAGAAATAACATATATGAATAGCTAGAATCATAAATAGAAACAAGCATTTTACAGTAAGTATTTACAAATATAGCGTAGATAAGGTGTATGTGGTTGCTGAATTAGTGTAAACTTTCGAGTCAGCAACCACCGAATCGACTGCTTGTAGATTGTAATTCATATGTTTAACTGGAAAAAAAAACCCGTATTTTTCAAAACAAAAAATCGAAATGGTTGTGATAAAGTGGTAATTGAATTTCGTGTCGTGCAATTTTGGTCTGAAATCAAACTTGCATATAGAAATCGCACTCCGGTCAGTTCAATTACCATTAAATATATCTCGCACTGTGTGCTACAGGTGAGTGAAAATATCGTATAAAATTCGTTTTTTTTTCAAACTTACGCTTCAAAGAAATTGTAATTCATTAAAACTTTCAAATTGTTTCAATGAAAAAGAAATCGTAGAATCAGATATTCTTCTATATTGACTATTTGTGTTTCTAATTAGAATGATAAGTTTTAGCCCAGAACTGATGTTTTCAAAACAATTATAATAACCTCAGTCTTTTTTTCAAATAAGCTTTTTTGAGCAAACACTTGACGAGCAACTTTTCAAAGCATTAGGATAACAATAATAATACTTTAGTAACTTACATTGCGCAAAATAATCGAATGCGCATTACAGGCAATAAAATAATAATAATGAGTAGTCTTGTGAATGAATTTGAAAAATAGTAATATCACAAAATGGCTATATAATAAGATATGATAACATAAATAGATGAGACTTTAGATTGTAATTGACTCAAGGTCTCGACTCAGAAGAGTGTTCAAAGCTTAAAATACTAAAATAATGAAAAATATTTTCTATATGCTAGTTTAAATAGATAAGTCTTTAGTTGATGCTTAAATGTCTTAACAGATATTGCCATTGTCGCAGATCTCTTAGGAGAGTGTTCCAAAGTTTGGAACTTCCCATAGCAAATGAGCGATCACCCAGCGTAACTTTAGATTTGATTGCAGGAACCTTCAGAAGCAAAGAATTAGTTGATCGCAGGTTGTAATTAGCTGACTTGAATACCACCGCTAAGTCTTGATTATACACTGATGGAGCAAGACCATGAATAGCCTTGAATGTCAAGAAAAGTGTCTCGAAGTTGCATCCGCAACCTAACTGGAAGCAAATGCAGCTAAAGTAATAGGGGTTAAATATGCCAGAACTTTGAAGCGTTGTAGATGAGTCTAGCTGCAGTATTAAGTACTCGTTGTAGCTTGTTCGGCTGGCAGTCAAGCAGTCCATACAGCAAACTGTTGCATTAAATCAATACGGCTAGTTATAAGAGCAAGTATCAGCAACTTATTTTGGGAATGCAAAAATGTTGAATACATGCATTGCAAGAAATTGCCCTAAATATCCATTACCTTGTCCATCCCTACTAAGTATGAGAAATTATCGTCAAATACTTCGTTTTATGTTTATTCACTTTATATTTCAGGTATCTTAAATGATTCTTTAGTAATAAAAGTTCTTAATATTATTTTTTCTTAGTGTCATCTTCAATTTCCTCTCGCGCGTTAGTCATTATTAGCCAAGGCCATCTGTTTGTTTATCTTAAGGACGTTAATGGGCAAAATATTCCATCGTCAGATTGYTTTAACATTTTGCACGATGAAAGAATATCATACTAGAAGTAAAACAAGCAAATAAAAAATAGCGGTCCCCGACTTCAATTAGGCGTCAGAATGCGTGGATATTCACCCTTTTTACGGTAAAAACGCGCGAACAACGAGAACCTGGAAAGCTGTCAAAAGCAACTTATGATTTACTGAAAAAAAGAACGTTGCCATTTTTCACAGAAGACTAGAAAATTACCAAATAAATAGCTAGAATTGAAGTTTGTGTTAAAAATTAGAAATATATTATGTTATTGTGCTATAAATGTGGACTTGAAGACTTTTATACACAAAAGTATGTAATTTCGTATGTAATTTCGTATGTAATTTCGTATGTAATTTCGTATGTAATTTTGGTCTTGCGACAATCATTGTTGCCGTTAATCA